GGGGGGGGGGGTGCTCCAGAAACACGCGCCCCTGTGCATGGGCTCGTCTGGAAACATCCCCCCAGCATCATCATTCTGACTAGTCATTGTCATTGGCCTTGTTTGGCAAATGAGGAAACTGAGGCAATAATGTTTTAGGCCAGATCTCTAAAGTCCCTGAATGTCAGCAGGGACCAGGGCCAGGCTGCCATCTAGATGTGCCCCCGAGACCACTGGTCTTCAGGCCAGTGAGGTTCTACTTTTCCCCTTGGCTGGGAGACTTTTCCACCTGAACCGACTCACAGGGTTAAAACAGGGCACGAAACTGCACACGTGTTCCCTTAGTTCCCTTTTCTTCAAAAAAGGAACTGTCTCAGTGGGGACAGACTCTGCTCGTGTGCTGCTCTGCGCTGCGCTGTCCCTGCAGGAAAAATGTATATGAAGACAGACAAATGGAAATCAGAAGTGAATTCAGATTGAATTCCCTCTGCTCACGCGTATTTGGTTCATGTCATCAGCAGGCTGAATTTTGGGAGAAATATTTAAAATATTAATTTCTAATATTTTAAAGGTTTAAAACAGCAAATGAACGCTGTCTGAGCTTCAGGGTCTGCACTGAATACTTGGAATACTTTTTTTTTAATCAACTCAATGAGGAAGATATAATTTCATGCCTCTTTCACGGAAGAAGAAATGGCTTAGAGAGGACGGGCAGGTGGCTATTCAAAGACACACCGCGGGTGGCAAACAGGGCTTGCATCTCGGTCAGGCTGTTCTGGGGTTCCAGGTGATACCCGCTGAAATATACTGCTTCCCACTGAGGTTTTTCCTACTTCAAAAGCTTTTTTTTTTTGCTTTTATTTCCTCTGCAACTCAACTCTACAGTTCATTTGTTTATAGCCTTATTTATTCTCTGCTTAAAAAAAAAGATAATTTACAAAATGCATTCAGCATAACAAGTTAAAATGTAAGAAAATTAGTTGAAATGTAAGAAAAGTGAGGTCCAAATATACAAGAATAGGTTGGAGCCAGGGGTGAAGGTGGGACACAGAAATGTGTGTGTCACAAAGCCCTATGCACTTGACAAAAGAGGGTCTCAGGCCTGGCCCAGAGTGTCCCCGCAGCCAGTCAAAGAAGGAAACATACTCAGCTACGAGTCACTGTGTTTGTGAGAGACAAGCACAGCGGTTTCTCAGCTAGGGGGTGTCGTTCCCGCCGCAGAGACCCGAGTGAAGAACCTTCTGTGGGGACTCTCAGGAGGGGGTGTGAGAGCGCAGGACTGTTCCCAGCGCATCTGTCAGCAGTTAGGCCCCGGGGAAGAACCTGCGGGGGCGGCGGGTGGGAGGGAGACCCAGCCCTGGGTGGGGTCNTCCACCTGAACCGACTCACAGGGTTAAAACAGGGCACGAAACTGCACACGTGTTCCCTTAGTTCCCTTTTCTTCAAAAAAGGAACTGTCTCAGTGGGGACAGACTCTGCTCGTGTGCTGCTCTGCGCTGCGCTGTCCCTGCAGGAAAAATGTATATGAAGACAGACAAATGGAAATCAGAAGTGAATTCAGATTGAATTCCCTCTGCTCACGCGTATTTGGTTCATGTCATCAGCAGGCTGAATTTTGGGAGAAATATTTAAAATATTAATTTCTAATATTTTAAAGGTTTAAAACAGCAAATGAACGCTGTCTGAGCTTCAGGGTCTGCACTGAATACTTGGAATACTTTTTTTTTAATCAACTCAATGAGGAAGATATAATTTCATGCCTCTTTCACGGAAGAAGAAATGGCTTAGAGAGGACGGGCAGGTGGCTATTCAAAGACACACCGCGGGTGGCAAACAGGGCTTGCATCTCGGTCAGGCTGTTCTGGGGTTCCAGGTGATACCCGCTGAAATATACTGCTTCCCACTGAGGTTTTTCCTACTTCAAAAGCTTTTTTTTTTTGCTTTTATTTCCTCTGCAACTCAACTCTACAGTTCATTTGTTTATAGCCTTATTTATTCTCTGCTTAAAAAAAAAGATAATTTACAAAATGCATTCAGCATAACAAGTTAAAATGTAAGAAAATTAGTTGAAATGTAAGAAAAGTGAGGTCCAAATATACAAGAATAGGTTGGAGCCAGGGGTGAAGGTGGGACACAGAAATGTGTGTGTCACAAAGCCCTATGCACTTGACAAAAGAGGGTCTCAGGCCTGGCCCAGAGTGTCCCCGCAGCCAGTCAAAGAAGGAAACATACTCAGCTACGAGTCACTGTGTTTGTGAGAGACAAGCACAGCGGTTTCTCAGCTAGGGGGTGTCGTTCCCGCCGCAGAGACCCGAGTGAAGAACCTTCTGTGGGGACTCTCAGGAGGGGGTGTGAGAGCGCAGGACTGTTCCCAGCGCATCTGTCAGCAGTTAGGCCCCGGGGAAGAACCTGCGGGGGCGGCGGGTGGGAGGGAGACCCAGCCCTGGGTGGGGTCTGACTGCCAGGCAGCCGGGGCCCGCTGCCTTGGCCTTGGCCTTGGCCTTCACCTTGGCCTTGGCCTTGGCCTTAGCCTTGGCCTTCACCTTGGCCTTGGCCTTGGCCTTCGTCTTCCACAGCAGCGCAGGTCGCGGAATGGAGGGCGTGGGGCTCTTCTGCCAGGCGCTGGCCGCTGTTTGGGCCACAGCGTTAACCCAGTCCGCCCAGGCTTGGGGGCAGAAGGGGCCCACCTAGCACATGCATAGGACACTTCCAAAGACAGTTCTGAAGGTGGGAAGGGCTCTTTACCCTTATTTTTTAAAATGGAAATTGTCTACTTTTGCTGATGCCATTTTTCTGTTCTATTTTTAGGCAAAAAGTCTCAGAAAAGGTAAGTTTTACCCGCGGGCAGCTTCTCCACCCGTCGGTCTGTTCTCTGCCTTCCTAAGGTGCTTCCTGTCAGAGGCAGGCGCTTCGCTCTTCATCTCGTTCGCATGAAGCTTCCAGATCAGCAGATCAGCCTCCAGCCTCCCTTAGAAGCAGTGGCTTTCTTAGCGTTAGCAGAGCTGAGTGGATGGATGAACCGGGAACGCCCAGTCAGGAAAAGGGAGCTCTTTCTGGTTGTCCCCAAACATCTTTTGAGGATTGGAAGCACTGTGGTGCATTTTTTCTTGTCCTGGGTGAACACGAGGGCCGCACTAAACACGATACTGAGGAAACATCCAACCCAACAATACTTATTGAGAAACTGTTGAACCCCAGGCCTTGAGCAGCAGGTATAGCCCTGACTCCAATGCCTAGCCCAAGGGGTAGGTGACTGCTACTCCGATGAGCACTGTCCTTCAGAAATCTGGAAGAAGTGGGGAGCACAAATTCCGTGTGCAGCTTCCCTAAAGAGGCACTGTTTTAGTTTGGTCCTGAACCCCAGGTTTCTTTAATTGGAGAAACACAAACTTAGAACAGATGCAGACCTGTGAAAACACATGGCCCTTCTGGCAGACATGAAGAGGGCAAAACATTTATCAGCTCAAGAGGCTTAGGGACTTGCTCTGAAAGGTTAGGAAGGAGAATGTAGGTAAAAAGAACTGTGAAGATGAGATTTTGGTGACATACTAAGTTCCCAGCGAGGCTTTTAACATCTGAAGTGCAGCGAGATGCTCCCCGAGGAGGCGGGTGCCTGCTCAGACAGCCGTCCTGCAAGCCGCAGGTGCTCACAGGGCGCAGTGGGCTGAGCTCAGGGTGCAGAAAAGAAGCAGAGGAGACACAGGCAACAGAGGCCGGGTCACAGAGTGACTCATGCGCCACGTTAGCGTGTGGACTTTGTCCTGGGGTCTTGGGGGCATCACGCAGGGCTTTAAGCAGGTGAATGTTGTACTGAAATTTGTATCTTGGGAATCTTTGCATTTGACCCATGAGGATCACGAAAGTCAGCAAACGTGGGAAGTGGGTGAGCTTGGAGGCAAAGGACTGTTTCGGAGGAATTTGAAATTATTCGGTTAAAACTATCTAGAGAAATAGCAGCGAGGACGAGTTGATGAGATAAGAGGGGGTAGAGTCAACAGCGTGTGGTTATTAACTGGCCGAGGCAGAGAAGAATCAGAGAAGCCGCCTGGGCTCTGATTGGGGAGCTGGTAGGTGGATGCTATCTCTGCTATGCAGGGCTATTCACTGAGATGGGGAGAAAAAAAAACCACACAAGAAACAAAAAGAGAGAAGTTTTGGAGCTGGAGCTCCTGGGTTCGGTTTTGTACACGTTGAGCTTTGGCGCCCGTGGCTCATCCATGGTCCATAGGTCCAGTCTGCAGCCCGGGGGCTGCCGTGGGGCAGGAGAAGTGGAGGTCGGGGTTCTCACTTTGCAGGAGGTAACTGCCATCTGAGGACCGGGCACAGCCACCCAGGCCGTGTGCGCGTGTGAGTGTGCAGGAGGGTGTGGGAGACGCAGGCGACCAGAGGAGCAAGTCAGCCGAGGACAAGGCGGGTGGGGGGGTTGCCGGGGAAGCAGAAGGCCAATCAGGGGAGTATGGGGTCCGGGACACCTAGGAAAGGAGGAAACGGAAAATGTTTCAAATGCTGCCAGGGGAACGAGTGAATTCCCCTGGGCGTGACCAGGGCATTGGCGGGGAGCCTGTTGTCAGCGTTGAGGTCAGGACAGAAGTCAGGTGGCCAGGGCCTGAAGACTCAGAGGGCGTGAGAAAGCACATGGAAGTCATCGCCCTTGGAAAGCTTGGCTGGCAGGAAAGGAGAGAGTTGGGGGGTAGCTGGGTGGGGGCAGAGGGTCAGTGGAGGTCCTTTTGTTCTACTTTATTGCCCCGTCTTCCATCTGACAGTGTGGATGGGTCCTAGACCCTCCCCAGCTCTGTGGGCAGGAAACCCACACAATACGCAGCCTTCTTTTACACTCACACCCACTGAGTGAAAGTCTTTCTGGCACAATCTACCCAGGGCTGTTTTCTGGCCACAAGAACCACCTGTGTTTTTCATCACCATTGGATGGAAGCAGATCAGTATAACTTTTTAGACGTCCTTGGGGACAGGAGGAATATTAGCATTAAGTTAATTACCATACCAAGCTAATTGCCATGTTAAGTTGAATGGTTCCCTAATTTTTACGTGAATCCGTCTATAGTTATTTACTAAACACCTTTGTGCAGGTACAATGCTCAGCTTGACTGAGACATGAGAGGAGTAAACCCTTACCCCTGACCTCAGGGAGATTGTCTAGTTGGGGAGTTGAGACAGACGTATTTTAAAGAATCAGAAAAACGCAAGGCGGACCACGGCAACGGTCAATGAATTCTGTATTGATAAGAAGCTTCCTCCACGACAGAGTTTGCGATCACAGAAAATCTTATGAGATCTGTACCCACCTAGATCCAAAGACCAGGCTCTTAACTTTTAGGCTGTTAGAACCCAGGACTCTCGACCCCCAGGTTAGAGCTGTACATCCCAGTAGTGTGATCCCCCCACCAAAACCTTCGTGTGCTGGCACCGAAGAGGGGCGGGGTGGAAGAAGTAGGGCGTGTTTCTGAAACAAGCCGAAGGTGACATGAGCACCATCACGTCCAACGCCTGTGTGCATTTTCTGAGAGCCCTTGAGAGACTGAGCAAACGCTCACAGTCCTTTGTGCTCGATCCTACTAGCCTTCGGTTGGTGAATGACCGGCGCCTAGGGCACCTGCGGTTTCGATTCTTGCTGGGTTATTTTGACTCTTCTGCAAACTTGTTGTTTATCACCTCATTTGGTTTCTAGTGTCTAAATTCTGCCCGGGTAAGAGCTACACCCAAGATACACAGGAAGATACGATGCCAACCTCAGGGAGGGCCTGTGTGAGGTTCTGTTTTCAGAAACAGCCTGTCTGCTGGCAAGCACGTTTGCAGCTGCTGAATTGTGGTTTCCCAGGGCAGTTCCTCCCCAGAACAGTCTCGGGTTCTCGTGGGCCTGTGAAAGGTGCCATGGAGACACACCATATTTGGTTCTCGCCATCCTTTCCAAGAATGAGACAACTGCTTCACAAACAAGAGGTGGCATCCAGTTCACAAAACTAAACTTGTCACCATCTCCTTAAAACATAGCCCACCAGAGTCAGGCCCTTTAGACCCACCACCGTGGCTGCATGAGTTCGGTTGTCTCTGATTTCTCTCTCCCTTTGAGACACCTTCTTCCTCCCTGCCTCCCACTGTTCATCTCTCTAAAGCGCTGCGTGCCCGTTGGGCCTGAAGACAGAGCCTGCGCCGCTGACCTTTCTAAGCGTGGGTTGTGGACCCGCAGCACCCCTGGGAGCTGGTTAGGACGCAGGATCTCAGGCCCCCCCAAACCGCAGGATCCGAGTCTGCTTTAACACCACCCCGGGGTGGGAAGCCCCCGGGGGCGTGAGAAGCGCTGCATTAGGATTTCTGGTCTCATTTCCCTGCTTCGGGGCATGTTCTGCATTTTGTTCAGCCCACTGGACATGTTTCCTTCACCTTAATCTCACCTTTAGTGCATACTTACCTTTCCTACTAACACTTCAGTTTTCGCAATGCCGAGCTCCCTCCTTTAACTTATATTCTCTTGTTTGTCATTCAGCATGGATGACCCATATTAAGTCACGCCCTGGGACAGAAAGTTCTGGGATCCCTGCGCACCCCCGGATTCTTCCAAGCCTCCGTGAGAAGCTCCGCACAGCGCTGCCTCCTCCACCGAGAGGACCCGCGTCTCGCTCAGCGCAGCTGGAGCGCTTTCTACGGGACCAGCAGCTGCTTCTGCACCCCTGCCCCCTGCCCCCCCAGCCCTGCTGTGGTTTATGTGGTTCAGTGTTTTATTCCCTTTCCTGTGGAGAAACAAGCCCAAAGGGGAAAGGATTCCGTGGAACATAAAGACATCCAGTGACCCTCTCTTTCTTGACTCTTGTTTCCAGTTTCAGCTCAGAGCTGTACCTGAGACACACACTCCTAAACACAGTGGGAAGTCCACACACCGGCAGCCACAGACCACACTTTACATTGTGGGGGTACATTCTTGCAGAAAGGTCATAAAACCGATGTCCTTGCTTCCCGACTCCAGCAAAGCAATGGGGTTCTGCTCCGAACAGGAACAGCCCTATCTGCACCGCGCCCCACCTTCCATACACGCAGGCCCTGCTGTGTCCTGCTCCAGCCCCACCTCCCTCCGCCCGCCCCGTCAGTGGCTGACTCCCACACACAGCATCTCAGGAGCACCAAACGCAGGAGATGAAAAAGCACTGATGCTTTTCTTGGATTTGGGTTTCGAGGTCTCTTTTTGTACCCCCACCCAGATTTCTTGAATTTTATGTTTCTTTTATAACCACTACATTGTTGATAAAGAAACATCATCACCAGAACGCCCACTGCAAGCAGCATCTATCCCTGTGGAGTTCTGAAGAAGAGTTAACAGAAGTAGAAAGAGATTCCGTGCCTCATGCTGAAAGGATTCCCCCTTCCCCACCCCCAGTTCTCTTATCCGTCTACCTAGATCCCATCCATGCCTCACAACTCATCTCAGGCACCCCTCCTACCTCCCTCACCGCTTTTTTCATAACTAGTCCTTAGCTAGTCTGACCATGGCAATCTCCCCTTCCTGGCCTCCTACTGCAAGGTTAGTCTGTAGCATGCAACTCTGTACTTAAACACAGCTTGGCATGTTTTTTAATGTTACCTAGTTTGTTATTTTAAAAATTATCATAGGTATGTTTTCTCCCAAGTAAAACTCCACCCTCCTTAAAGGCAGAGACTGTGACATATTCCTGGAGTGTCTAGTCCATTACTTGACATTCAATAAATGTGTTCAAATAAATTAGAAAGAGCTTACAGTGTACTGCTGATACCAGTTGCAGCAAACCCTCTCTCTATGGCATGTGATGGCTTAAACAGATACCCACCAAAGTCAAGGGCTGAGTTCTTAGAAGAGAATAGGGCCCTTGTAAAAACCATTTGGAAATACGCCCTGTCCATGGCCAATACCGCTTTCATATAAATGTGTACAGCTGTGAGAATGGTTTTTTGGTGATGGTTACATTTTCCTTTCTCTAAGTCGTCTCAGATTCTGCATTACAACAAGGCTGTTGTAAAAGAGTCTCTATGCCGTGCACTATAAACCCAGGGTGTGCCACTTTCATGCAGTTTAGGACGCATCCCTCAGAGCCAAACAGTGCACCAGCTGCTCAGACTCAAGGGGCAGCCCTGACTGAAGGCCCCTTTCAGCTAACACATCAGGACCCGAGTGGAAGCTATCTCTTGGGAATGAGAGGTGTAAGTCCTAAGGAATGATCATCTTAGGCATTATGTGACTCTACGTCTTTTCAATGAAGATTCATAAGATTCATAAAGAAATAAAGATTCATAAGATAAATTTCTCCAAAGACCTTGGGACTAAGTCTCTCTGAGACTTAGTTTCCAGTTTCTTTGCCTATAACATAAGAAAGAAATACACCTCGTTTACCTCATAGGGGCCTGTGACGACTGAGTCGGGCGTGAAACTACTTGGTGAACTGACCTTAAATGTAGATCCCCCCCCCCCC